TCCCTTCCTTCCTTCCTTGGTTTTTTGGCACAATTTTCTAGTCTAGGCTGGCTTTTGAACTCCCTGAGTAGCCAAGGATGACCTTGAACTCCTGAATCTCCTGCTTCTACTTCCAAAGTGCTGAAATTGTGGGAGTGTCACCAGGCCAGGTTTATACTGCCTTGGGGATTGACACTAGTATGTTTGGGGAAAACAATACAATCTGGAAATTAATATGAATAAATACATATTTGATAGCAAATTAGTAAGTTGCCTTATACTTCAAAACTGAGAAAAAATTGTTAAAACAGAGTATCACCTACCAGTTATTCTTGGACTCTATAATCTTTGAGAAACAGAATATCCAGTGGACCTGCAGCCAGTACGTTTTTTCCAGTGGAGCTGCCAAATATGATGACTGTCAAGGGTGAAGTGTTTCTTGTTTTTTAAACAAAATGAATGCTAACTCTTCAGTGTAGAACAGTGTTGGCACACTGGAGATGTTAAGACTTTGTCAGAGTGTCTGATATGAAACCTTAGCATGGAGCGTCACCTGCTTACTGAGGCAGTGAATGGAGGAGGGAAAGAAAAGAGTAAGAGAAATATTTCCTAAGCATTTTCTGAAGGGGGGCGTGTTAAGGAAACTTTCTATGCTCAATGGTAGTTTCATATTTATAAGGATGGTAGGTGTTTTTTTGTTTTCGTATTTTAACAAAGTGAAAGGGTTTACAAGTAGATTTTTTTCAGTGTGGTATCTATACCTGATAATTGGGCTTTTGAGATGGCATGCCAGTGTTTATACCTGATAACCAAAGAACTTCTACTATGAGAACTTATATTATTTGTATAATAGTACCTGCTTGAGGCATTAATTTATGCTTTGTTGCTTTGGGGAAAGAGTTTTGTTTTGTTTTGTTTTTGGTTGTTTTTCAAGGCAGGTTCTCTGTAGCCTTGGCTATCTTAGACTAGCCCTGTAGATCAGGCCAGCCTTAAAGTCATAGAGCTTTGTCTGCCTCTGCTTCCTGAGTGCTGGGATTAAAGGGGTGTGCCATCATTGCCTAGCTTTGCTTTGCTACATTAAAATTTTTATGTGTATGGGTTTTTTGCCTTCATGTATGTCTTCAGGAACACATGTGCCCTGGTTCCTGAAGAAGCCAGAAGAGAGCATTGTGTCCTCTGGAACTGGAGTTATAGACTGTTGTGATCTGCCATGGGGTGCTGGAAATTGAACCCTGGTCCTCTGTAAAAACAGCCAGTGCTCTTACCCATTGAGGCATCTCTCTTGGTCATATTTTTTAAGTATTCTCAACACAAAGTCTCATGTTTGCTTGATATGGTAGTATACACCTTTAATCCCAGCACTCAGGAGGCAGAGGCAGATGGATTTCGATGAGGTCAAGGCCATACTTGTCTATATAGCCAGTTCTAGGATAGCAAGAACTACACAACAGAGAGACCTTGTTTTAAGACAGATTCTCACTTTGCAACCCTGGCTGTCTTGAACTTGCTATACAGACCAGGGTGACACTTAATTCAGAGAGTTCCCTGCTTTTTCATCCTTTCTTCTACAAGTGTTCTATTTAGTTGCTTGCTTGACAATTAAACAAAAATACTTGTGTGTGTGCATGTATGTGTGCATCCCTTTCTAGCCAGAAACACTTCACAGAAACTGTGCTTTTTTAAATTTCCTTTTTCATTTTTTCATAGACATAAGTCAATATTAGTTCTGTTCAACTTGATTACCTGAAAGTAAGTCAGAGATTTTTGAGAAAAATTACAAAGGAAATGAACTTTCTGACAATTTTGAAGTTTCATCTAACCCCCAAACAGTTGAATTCCCGAGGTCAGTAAGTCAAAGTGGAGACTAATAATCCAAAGAGGAATAATCTAGTTCTTAAGAACAGATCTTCCTATTTTAACTGCATCTGTGGGCTATGCTCCATCCTCACAATTCTTATTATGTGTATTTATTCAATATGATCTCCTGAAAAGAACACAAATGAGTCTAGTTTGTTATTGTTGTTCCTTTGTCCTGTCTTCATGTTTCTTATCAGGAAAACTCTACTGTCCTAGATTTTTAACACCATTACCGCCTTGCTTCGTCACTTATTTATTTGTTTCTTTTTCAAAGCAGGGTCTCTGTGGGCCTGGCTGTTCTGGAACTTGTTCTGTAGACCTGGCCGGCCTTGTACTCAGAGATCCACCTGCCTCTGCCTCCCGAGGACTGGACTTAAAGTGTGTGACCCCACAGTCACTACTACTGCTTGGCTAATCTGTTGTTATCCAGCTGTTACCAACTAGAGAGGGGGATATGGGGCTTGGAGACTTGTCTTTTTCTGAAAAGAGTAATAACCAACTAAAGCTGTAGACAGTGGTACTTAGGGTACAGAATGCCCACCTAGGAAGGGGAAGGAAGTGCACTTGTAAATTACAAATGTTCTCCTTGCAAGGACCTGAGTTCAGGTCACAGTACCCACAAGGTGGCTCATACCATCTGTAACTCTAGTTCTAGGGAATCCCAATGCCCTCTTATGACTTTGGTGGGCTCTTGTATGCACATAGCACACACACACACACACACACACACACACACTTAGGCTCATTCAGAAGTACACATACACACACACACCATTTTACAAACCAGAATTTCAGCAGGCATGGTGGTCCCAGCACTTGAAAGACAGAGGCAAATGGACCTCTGTGAATTCAAGGTTACCATGATCTACATAGTGAGTTCCATGATAGCCAGGGCTATGTAGAGCAATACTGTCTCAATAAACGAACAATCAAAACCACAATTTTTCTTCCCCTCTTTCTGTGTATGCCTCAGGGTAGGCTTTCTATTTTGAACTTGATATGCACTGTGGTGAAAGTTCTTCAACCCCTTCACAGCAGCATTGAAGAATAAAGAAGTGAATTGACCCAGAAATAATCAGTAACAAAAGTGGATCGATTAAAATTTGTAGAACAACATTGTTGCCTTTGTAACTAGAGACATTATTTTGAGTACCTGAAAATGCTGATTTCATTCCTTCTTCTTTTCCAGTTAGTCTGGGTTCTTACAGCAAATTCTAAGTCCTCTGAATATGCTCCCTGTTCTGCTGATTTTCTTTCTTGTGCCCTGGTACCAGTCATCTGGTACCTGGTACCTTTTGTCTTTATCTTGATAGAAATCTTAAGTAGCTAAGGCGAAGCACTTTGTGTGCTGAGCTTTGGTGTTTGACAGCAGTGAGGTGGCTGCAAGCAAGCCATAACAGTGTTGTTATTTAGCGCCCTCTAGTGTTATAGCTCCTGTGCAGACCTCTGATGGAGGGGATGAGGGCGCAGATAGGGAAGAAGGTGGGAGGCAGAGGGAGGAGGGGAAACTGCGGCCAGGATGTGAGACAATAAATTAATTTTAAAAAATGGTTATATAACAAAAGAACAAATACTTGCTAATAGGTATTCACACCTTCATGATGCAGTTATTTTTGTGAAAATAAAATTCTCAAAAAAAAAAAACCATACTCATTTTTTGAACATGTTATTGACTGACTTTCCTTCAAAAATTTTTTCCTCCCTACAGAATCTGTCTATGATCTTCTCCCAAAGGAGTTACAGTTACCTCCACCTAGAGAAACATCTGTAGCATCAATGAGTCAGACAAGCGGTGGTGAGGCAGGCTCGCCTCCTCCAGCTGTAGTTGCTGCTGGTATGCATTTCATTTTACTTTATTAATGAAAACTAGGGTACTATCTGGCCAACATGAACAGTATTGGCAAAGTTCATATCAAAAAGAGTATGATTTGAGGGTTTCAGATGGGTTTAAAGACTTTACCCTTTACATTGAAAGGTTTTCAGTGGTTTTTAAAAAATATACATGCTTACATATTTTTATATATATGTATCTTAAGTTTTGGTCCATTTGTAAATGCTGTCTTTTAAAGTGGACCTTGTCTTCAAATATGAGACCCAGTTTAAAGTGACCTTGTTGAGTGCACATAAAAAAGATAAACACCAAGCTATGGCTAGAAAATTATATTTGACCTTTTATTTAAATTTTTTAAAAAGAATTATTTACTTATTTTATGTATATGAGTACACTGTAGCTGTCTTCAGACACACTAGAAGAGGGCATCAGATCCCATTACAGATGGTTGTGAGCCACCATGTGGTTGCTGGGAACTGAACTCAGGACCTCTAGAAGAGCAGCCAGTACTCTTAACCGCTATAGTTTCTCCAGCCCTTAACAAATATTTTTAAAGACTTGCCCAAAGGGAAAAATGTTATATGATCTAAAAAAGGACTCAAGTTCTCAAGTTTCTCTTCTCTTTATAGTATGTAACTATAACCTTTTCCCTACAATTAAAAAAAATAAATGTGGCATAACCAGAGCTATATATTGATATAACACACACACACAGCCTGATACTTATTTTAAATTAATGAAAAATAGTGGCCAAGTTGAATATAATCTTTATGAAATACATTCTTTTGTAGTCTGTTATAATAATGAAATATATTAAATAATGTTTGAAATTTATTAAGCTTATTTTCACTCAGCTCTCAAATCATACACTTTGTAAATACATTAAATTGGTTCAAACTTTTACTTTGAATTATAATAAAAAATTGACAAACTAATAAAAAAGTCTTGATTAGTAATAATTTAGTGTGAATGCTTTTCACAATAATAGATTGCCCAACTATAGTGCCTTGTTTTTAAAGTTGGGATTATAGGTTACTAAATGTATTTGCTTTAGAAAAATAAATACATTATGTCTATTTTCTGAAGTTTTATCTGTCCTATAAAGATTTCTTGCCTCATGATACTTATCATCTTTTAAAATGGTATTTAAAGTCCATCAAAACATCATTTCCAGTAAGTTCTTTTCATTTCACCAAGAGAAATCAAAAGAAGAAGGCTGTAGTCTAAATGACAGTATTGGTACTGTACTCTAGCTGTAAGTGTTTAATTTCTTATATACATTAATCTTTATGCCATTAACACAATGAAGAGTGCAGTATGAAGCCTTCTTGCTTGTGGGCAGGAAAACTTTAAACACAACAAAGAAATATTGGCCCTCCTCACTGTTCATGTGTGGCCAGACATTTTCTAACAGCTTCTGTGGATTTAACTGTGAGTTAGTGAGCTTTTTATAATCAAATTGATAAGATAATCTGGTTTACCTCTTATCTATCAGATTCTAAAATGGCTCTGAATATTTTTGGGGAATTTGGAGCTTTAAATCTAGTTTTTAAAGACTGACTCATATAATAAAATAGAAAAAAAATTTTTAAGAAGTATTGTTTCACTTTAAATCCACATATAGAAATTGACTAACTGATTCCTTTTGTATCTTGAGATTGTTTCTGTAAGGACATGTTGAATCTGCATAGAACTACAAGTCTGTTTCTTCTGTACTTTTTAACATCTGTTTACAGTAGATCCAGTTCCTTTTAAAAGCTGAATAAAAAATCATAGCTAAGTTTAGAAAAAGAACACTTCCCTTTAAATAATACCACTTGTTTCAGAAATTCTTATGTATAAATATTTAAAGTCCTTGATTTGGGGTCACTAACGAAAAGTTTTGCCCTTTCTGTGTAGTTGAGAAAGTCTTTACAGGTAAATTAGATTAAAAACTATGAGTTGAAACATGAAAATAGAAAATTTGACCAAAGGAAATATTCTAAAGCTATCTATATGTGTACATAAGTGTATTTATATTTGTGGCTTTGAGGATTGAACTTACGGCTCATGTATGATAGGCAGGTGCTCTGCCACCAAGCACACCTGCATCCCAAAGTCTTATTATCTGAAATCATTGACATTATAAACATAGTAAAGAAAGTAAAAAGGCAACTTTTAAAGTTTTCTTCTCACAGAAAGTTTCTGTGATCCTAGTAATTACTAATCTTTTAATTTACATATCTACTTTTTTAGTACCAACATAGTTTATTCTCTTTTCCAATGTCTTATTAATAGAAAAAACTCCTTTATTATATACTCTCACAGATAAGAGTTTAAGTTTCAGAGTAATGATTGTAAGGACATCAATTTGTATCATTGGAGTCACATTTTTATCTATCAGATTTATAGCCTTGGTGATAAACTATCAAAAAGAAAAACTGGGAGTATTTTACCAAGTTTGGCTTCTGGCCAAAAGCTTGATAGCTAAGGAAATGCACATTAATTTAAGTATCTGATTTTTAAAAACAAAAATCTGTAGCATTTGATGTTTACATGTGAAATGCATAAAAATGATGACTTTTGATATAGTTAATTCTTCAGAGTTTTGAAGGAGCTGGATTGGCTGCTATCAGGTATGAGGGCCTGGTGGGAACAGACTTCTAGTTCTGCCATAAAGGTTTGTGTCACAAATTTTAAATCAGTTTAAATTTTTTATTTATTTATTTAAAAAAAAATTAGAGACTGGGAATATATATGTTCATGACATTCTTAGTTATTTAATTATTGAAAATGCGTTTCTCAAATTCACCAATGTAGCCCCGGCCTCTGCCTCGCATTATTGCTGAGGGTGTGAATAACCGTGATGCTGCTGATCCAGAATCCAGAATCCCGGGTAACAGGATGTTTCTCAGCCCCTTAAACTGTTAGGATTTTGGTTTTTATACTATTACAGCTTTACGTACTGTTTCTGCTCTGCAAGTCCCAAGGTTAGGATAGAGGAAAAATGAGGGCAGGAGGCACAGTTTCTCTTGTATACGAAGACAAGGTCAGAACCTTTTATTGGTTTGAAATTTGTCCACCTGTGTATTTTTAAGAATTCTCTTGGGAAAATAGTTAAGAATTTGAAGTTCACAATGTCAATGAATGATAGATTCAGAAATAAAAACTTTTTTAAAACAGTGTTCCAGGCTCTATAAATAGCTATGACAGAGGCCTCACAAGTTCTGGAATTACAAGTTTGTCTTTTTTAGAAGCAATATAGTCTCAGCATACTAATACCTAAGGCAGCTTTTTAAAACATGTATAGGTAGCGACACTCATAAAACATACACAGTAGAATCTGTTGGGGCCCAGGGAGATGGTAAAGTCCTTGAAGACCTGAGTTCAGATTTGCAGAACCCATGGTACAGTGGAACGTTTCTATAGCCCTGGCCCTGGGATGTGCAGAGACATGTGGATTTCTCAGAGGCTCCATGTCCAGCCAGTATAGTCAAAAACAGCAAATTTCAGGTTCGGTTTTGTTTTTTTTTTTAAGTCTCAGAAAAGTAATTAGGTGAGTGAAATGATTGAGGAAGATAATCCTGATGTCAGTGCTGCTCTCCATACACTCCCACATGGTGAATGTACCTCCCCTCCCAGTACATCATACGTATACAGTCCTTAGCAGAGGCCAAAGGGATTTTTTGTTGTTGTTACTACTTATTTATTTATTTATTTATTTATTTATTTATTTATTTATTTGTATTGACATTCTCTCTGACATCCTTGGCTTGTGAAATTCTTAAGCCCTACACAACTTCAACCAACCACTTTATGGGTTTTTACTCTTGATCAGTTTTGAAGAGGCCTACCCATTCCCCAAGTTTCTTGACATCAACCTTTAATTAGGTTTATTTGGTTCTAAGCATAAAGGACCTCCACCAACTTGACATGCATAGGTTCATCACAGTTGTATGTTAGCACACAGAGGTGGGCTTTGGCTCTTGTCTAAGGCTTTAAAGGCTTTGACAGATCATGCTCTTGTGAGGACAGTCTTCAGCTCCTCTGATGAAGCAATGCTGACATCCATCACATCTGCAGCCGCACTGCCTTCCTCAGCCATGGTGGGGAACTATTGAAGCAGAGTTTTGAATGCACACAATCCTCTATCTCATCTGATTAGACAGTGTCATGGAAAGGGCCAGAGTGTGTGTAATTTAAGTTTATAACTTTATATAGTGTCTACAATATAAACTTTTAAAAGAACCTTACTAGATAGTGCTTTGAATTCTATGCTATGGAAATTTCAAGTAGCTAACACATATTTTCTACATTGAAGCAACCTGTTGAGTGAGTGTTACCTTTGTTATAAGACAGGACAGTAGAAAATCAAAGGTCTATAACTAGAGAACAGCTATGCTTTAATTCACTTTAGACCTATTAGTTATCTAAATTAAAACCATAGTAATTTGGGCAGTGGTGAGGCATATCTTTATGGATCTTTGAGGCTAGCCTGGTCAACACGGAGAGATTCTGTCTTGGGGGTTGGGGAGCGGGGGAAGGGAATTCGTTTAATCAGCCGTCCATCCGACATCCTGGCATAAACCTCTAATTGGGAGTCAGAGACAGGAGCATCTCAAATTCAAGGCCAGCTTACATGTAAGACTGTTAAACAGTAAGAACAAGAGCTGACATGGGACTCAGTGGCCCAGTTTATACCTAGCATACATGTGGATCTGAGAGCAGTATTCGGTACTAAAAATAAGGAAAACAGAACAGTGGAAAAAGGTAGAAAAAAATGTTAGAGTTGTATTGAGCAATGTGTATATCATTGAATGTAATTACATCTCAACTTTTCTAACTCCAATTACCTTTTGTCTTTCTTGATGCTGGGACAGAGTTTCTTAAGCTTTTTTCACTCATATCCAAGATAGACTGAAGAGAATTTTTTAACTCAACTTGATATAGATACATGAACAAATTATATATACTAGGTGCAGATATTTACTGATAACTCAAATTTATTTCAAGGCTCTTTTTAT